CAAACCTTTAGCAACACTGATCAAGAAAAAAGTCAAATTAATAAAAACAAAAATGTACAGGGGATATAACTACAGACCTCACAGGAATAAAGTGGGTTATAYAATAATATAGCAAACATTTTGCCAACAAATTAAACTACATAAAATAAAGAAATTCCTAAAAAGACAYAAATAATTGAAAGTGTTTCACAAAAAAAAATTTTTGAAATATTAAGACTGTAACAAGAGACTTGAGAAATCAAAATTCTCCAAAAGATAAAAATCTAAGCCTAAATGTGTTCACAGGTGAACTCTACCAACACATAAATTAACACATAAATTAACACATGTTAATCTTAACATGCAATGAGCTACTCTACAGCCAAAAAACCAGTAAAGTACTGTTGCATGCTGAACATGCATGAACCTTGACAACCTCACCAAAACCTCAGAAATACCAGGTTTCAAGGTTCAGGCAAATATACATTAGCAATTCACACTTAGAAATTTTGAGATACCAAGAATAATAGCTCCTAAAACAAAATATTTACACATAAGTCTGACAAAAACATGCAAKATCAGTATGCTAAATACTATAAAACATTGATTTAAAAATCAAATATTTAAATAAATAAACCTTATTTGTAATAAATCATATGCAATATCATTAACATGTAGATTCTATGCAAATTGATCTCTGGATTGTTGTAGTGCCAACCAATCCCAGCAGGTTCCTACTGAAATTGAAAGGAAAGTCTAATACTTATTTGGAAAGGCAAAAGAGCYAGAAAATCCCAAAACAATGTTGAAAAGGAAGAACCAGGTGCCTCACACCATGACTGCAGTCATCAATAAGCTTGCTGTTGGTGAAAGGAAAGACCCACCGATCGGTGGGACAGAACAGAGGAGAGGATGCCAGCTACTCAGATAGGGCTAACAATGGTGAAAACATGCACAATGTTTTAGGCAGAAAGGAGAGTCTTCCACAAATGGTACAGGAGTGATGAGACATCCCTGTGAAACACAGATAATTCCGACACTGGACCACAAATAAAAATTAACTCAAAATAGGTCCTGGACACAAATGTAAAACACAAAACAATCATTTTTCTAGAATAAATCAAGAGAGCTCGCTGAGACTTTGCATTAAGTGTGGAATTCAGATATGGTATGGAAAGAAAATGAACTCTGAAAGACAAAATCGATGAATTAAACTTCCAAATTTAAACTTCTGTTCTTCAAAACACAATGTTAAGAGAATGATAAGCCATGCATTTGGGAGAAAAAAAAATTGTGAAAGATATATCTAACAAAGCATTTGTACCTAGAATTCACACAGAGTTCTCAAAAGTCAGTCACAAGAAACCACACAAGAATAAAAGCAAAGGTAAAAGGTATGAACAGACCTGTCCTCAGAGGACAAAGGAGCCAGGAAAGGTCTCCCCTGCTGGTCACGAGGGACATGCAAACAGAACTCTGGGCTACGGAATCAAAACAATCACTAAATTTCTTCCCTGGCCACACAAACTGGGGCAAGACTGGTGCTACTGAGACCTTCGCCCACCACGGGTGGGAGCAGGAGTCACAGCTGCTCAGGAAAAGCCTGCCGCTTCCTTACCAAGGAAAACACACGCATGCCTGGTGACCAGCGGGCCCCCAGGTACTGACCAGCCTCAGCAAGAATCTTTTCAAACTTGCCCAAAGCTGGACCCAGAAGTCCTTCCACTGGAGGCTGAATAAGCAAGCTGTGGGACCTCCAGATSGCAACCGTCCTCAACAGCGTGAAGGAATGGGCCACCAGTGCCATGGCAGGACGGCACATGTGAGTGGCACATGTGTCGTGGGGAGTGAAGGGAGGTGGCCTCAGGTGGCACACACTGCAGAACCCCAGYTGTGGGGCTTCCTGGAGGTAGAAAAGCTCTGCAGGACAGCAGACAGACAGCAGCCATCAGATGGGGGGATGACCACAGAGGGCCGTTAGAGGGCAGCTGTGGATGTCCCCTACCCTGACTGTGCAGGCAGTGACATGACTGTTCCCAGAGCCTCTGGAACGGTGCTCTGGAAGGGGTGCACTTCACTGTCCTAATTCATAGCCTAATTTTAAGAAAGAGATAAGTGGCCCAAGAGGAGACTAACAGCACGAAGTGTGCGTGGGATGAGGCCTCCCGCAGCTGGGAAGTGAACAGAATGATGACAATGATTGAAAGCTGCCGCGAGGGTCCTCGATGACCACCAAAGGTGGGCAGCAGCAGCACAAGAACAGTCCACTGTGGACAGACTGAGGGCACCTCCCCAGCCCAGCCCTGGCAGCTAGAGGGCACAGCCTCCTGCTCTGGGCAGCAGGTGACTACCAGGAGCCACTGAGCGCCTAAAATTATAAAGGGGACATTGGCGACAGAGCTACAGAAAGGCTGACTCCCAAAATCTGATGAGGAAGCCTGACCAGCCCTCTCCCTTAGCACCCAACATTTGCCTAACTCCTCAAGTTGCAGGGTCCGCAAATCATACCTCAGTAGTGGTGCTGAAGAAAACAGTGCCAGATCATCAGCTCTGGAGGGGACCCATGGGCTGCTTGTGGCGTTAGCAAGGGGCCTATGTGAAATGCCAACCTCGGCCATCTCTAGGAGCCCACAGCTCCTGGGGCTCTAGAGAAGATCCAGTACTTGCCCTGACAAAGCTGAGGCATCCGAGCCTGGTGGACAGGAAAGCCCAAGCAAGCTCAGCTCTGCTCCCTGCCCACGTCAGATCAGGAGCCACATGCTGGAAAGTGAGGGTCGCGGCTGGGAGCACACCTGCAGCAAGAGCCCCAGAGAAGACAGTCCAGAGAACAGCAAGGTGCACACCGCACAGCGGCTAGAGCCATTCTGCAGAGAGCCACCACCAGCAGCCTCAACCCCGCGGAAACATCACGGCAACACAGCAGAGACTCCCTGGGGCCACATGGCAACAGACTGACCACAAGCAAGCTTTTAAAAAGAAGAAATTGGGATTGACCACAGAGACCTCATATACCTGGAATATTCACTTTTATGAAAGCCAGCACAGCAAAGGAAAGGCTTAAGAGCATGAAGAGAGAGCCTGTGGAACAAGAGAAAATCTTTGCAGTTGCTCCTCTAACAGGGGATTAACATCCAGAATACAGAGAGAACTCACAAAACTAAATTCCAAAAAACAAATAACATGTATGATTTTGTCAAAATGAATGCAATTACTATGTATAATTGTGATGCTTTAATGAAAAAAATATTTTAAAAAAGGATCAAAGCCAAGAAAACAAAATCAGGAAGCAAGATAATGGGCCTACATGGAGTGGAAYAAGAGACGTTTCATCAATGTGCTAGGCAGAGGGAGAATACGGAAAACGGAGCTCCTTCTGGAAATAGAGACATTTCGGYGACAAGGCCTGAACACTCCGATCTTGATCCGGCCTTTAAACACCTGTTTCCTGGAATCGTCAAACAGCAACCAAACACTAGTGGTCTTTTCACCACCTGCTCTCTTCCCAGGGTTCTGCCAGGCAATGTTGTGGGCCACCCAGGAACTGCACAGTGTGGTCTTTGTCCCCAGGRATTCCCAGTCATGCTGAGAGACAAATCAACGAGTTTGAAATGCATACCAAACGAGACGGAACGTCCTGCCCGCTCAATCATGTCAACGTGGACGTGGACAGTCTTGCAGGACTTGAGGCCCTACCAAACAGGGAGTGGCAGACATGGCTTCTCAGAAGTCAGGCTCGGTGGGACAATAAAGGGTTTGAACAGAGCAATGTCACAATTAACTGAGAGGCTGAAGTGGCATTTGGAAACAAAAGTGGGACAGTTAACAGGTCAACAGTGAAGGACGCACCCCCACTAGCCGGACGGAAGTGTAGTCAGAACCGTGTGCAGCAGGAGCTGGTCAGGACAGAGCCCTGAGAAGGGCGGGGCTTGGAGCAAGCGGCCTGCGGGAGAGGGACCTAGGGGATGAGCAGCTGGGAGAAGGGGTGCTGCAGGGAGGAGCCCGCATGGCTCCGGAGGGGAGAGGGGTGGAGGCTCAGCACATGGAGCCGGGACTGCAGGGCTCCTAACAGTCATGAGCTCAGACTGTAGACACTACATGCCACCAAGGGTCCCCAGGAATCAGAGGTTTCATCACAGATGGGGTAAAATGGCATTTGGAAGCACAAGTGGGATGAGGGAGGGTGGTCAGGCGGCTGGACCTGCCTCTGGAGTCTGCAGGAGAGAGGCCCGTAGGGAAAACAGAGCCACGGTGGCTGCTGGAAGTGGGGCCAGGGCACAGCACCAACAGGCTGGGATGGGAGCCAAGAGTGCCTCCCACGGAGTGCAGCAGGTTGGTGACGAGAGACTGATAGCTGGTGTCAAAAAAAATCCAGAGAATTCCAGGGTAGATGAAGACATGCTCACTGAACTTAACTACTGAGGGCAGAGGGCGGAGAGAGGGCAGCCCCAGAGCACTGGGCAGAGCCATCCCAAGGGCATGATGGCCAACAGAGAGGAGGCCAGATGCTGGACATGATGGCCAGCACTCAGCCTGACGTGAACAGYGGCCGCAGGGAACCTTCCATGGAGCGGTCACCAAGCAAGCAGCAGTGACTACTCTAGGTTGCTAAGAGTGGAAGTGAGGTCAATTCCTTTCCACTCACTGGAGAGAAGGAAAGCTCCAGGAGAGGATTAACAGTGACAGCAGCGGTGCAGGCAGGCAGTGTGGGCTCACGTGCCCCAAGGCAGAGGAGCAGAGACCGGTAGAGAAGGACAGGGGAGGGTAATCAGTGCTCTGGTCTGAATGCCGTGTCCCCAAAAGTCATGTTGGAGCCTCTCCCTCAAGATGATGATTTTAGGAGACACAACYTTTAGGAGGTGACTAGGTCACAAGGGTAGAGGTCTGTGATGGGACCACACAAAGGGGGCCCCAAGAGCTCCCAGGCCCCTGCCTCGTGCCAGCGTGAAGGTGCCGTTTATCTGCCAGGACACCCTCACCAGACATCACCTCTGCCAGAGCCCTGACCGCAGACTTCCCGGCCTTCAGACCTGGGAGCAGGCCTGCTGCTTAGGAGCTACCCCATCCACGGTGTTCTGCTGCAGCAGCCTGAGCAGGCGCAGACAGGGAGGCCTCTTCCTCTGGGCATGAAGACGCAGCCTGACTGGCACTTGGAGCCTGAGTCACACTCCACGTCTGGAGGGGTGCATTTACAGGTGCAGTACCTGGTTTCCATCCTGGAGCAGCCAGTGAACACCACCTTCATYGGCTTCCAGAGACATGGGGGTTGGCTAAAGGGAGTGGGAGATTGCAGTTGGCCTGGGAACAGGCAGGAAGTGTCTGTCCTGGCATGTAAGACTCAGAGCTAGGTACGACCGCGTCCCTCTAAAGAAGCAAAGAAGCACCTGAGCAAGTCAAGGGCTTGAGGAAGACCAAGCGTGACTTCATGACACAGGACCACACCGTCCCCGTCTGCAGGAACACACCACCTCCGTCTACAGGACCACACTGCCTCCCATCTACAGGACCACACCGCCTCCGTCTGCAGGACCACACTGCCTCCCATCTACAGGACCACACCGCCTCCGTCTGCAGGAACACTGCCTCCGTCTGCACGACCACACTACTCCATCTGCAGGACCACACTGCCTCCATCTGCACGACCACACTACCTCCATCTGCAGGAACACTGCCTCCCATCTACAGGACCATACTGCCTCCGTCTGCAGAACCTGGTGCTGAAGGAGAAACAATCTTCCTTTGGACTTGACTGCAAAGAGTATACACACCAAGACAYGAAGAGCAAGACGTTCAGGGATGCAGATAGGAAAACCCAGTCGCTCATGCAGGCCCTTCCAGGGAGGGTCTGTGAGTGCTACATCCTGACTGAAGGCTAGGCCAGTGTCCTAGGAGCCCAGAGGGTGACAGGGAGCAGTGGACCCTGCAGCAGTACATCCAGGGTCCTGGTGACCCRGGAGCTCTGAAGGAGGCAGACACACAAAAGAGGGAGGGAAGCAGCACAGCCTCAGGAGGAGGGAGAGAGCCCCCAGCAGCAGCCAAGTGACAAAGGRACAGGGAGCCTGTAAGCTCCAACCAGCTCCCACTGGACCAGGAGCCACTCAGGCCAAGACTGAGGAGAAGCAGCCTGCAGCTTTCCAGGGACTCTAGCCTTTACAGCCTAAGCACACAGACACAGCTGCGGGCCTCCCACTGCCGTAGTACAGCTTTAGAGATCTTTTCTTCATATTTTCTAATTCTTAAACATCTAATATTTTGATTTCCATCAAATAATAATAGCTGATGATCGTCAAGTTCTGCCTGATGCCAAGCTCTGTTCATGAATCATCTCCTTCACTCTCCACAACAGCCCCGTGGGATCCTATCACCCACACAGTGGACATGAGAGAAATCCAAGGCTTGGGACAGGGCACAGAGCCCAGCCCTTTGCCTCTCTCTGCAGTAACTCTGATCAGGACCTGTTGCTCCAGCATGTGGACAGGTGCCAAGGAACTCCTACTTAACCCAGAAATTACCTGAGACYCTTGCTAAAAATGAACCGTCTCAGGCTATGAAGGCATTAACTATCACCACCAACCTCAGCTAACCCACCGCCCCTCCAAAAGGTGGGCGGGGGAATCCCTGGGAGTTTGCAGACCATCCAGGGGGTCAGCAAGGTCACCTGTGTCCTTAATAAAGCTGTGACTTGCTGGCCACTTTCCCAATGTGGCATCTGCACTGATGCAGCAAACTCACTGGGAAACCCTGCTGGGGCTGAGGACAAAGGAGGGCCAGGCTGCTCTGGCCACCACTGGATTCCTCACTCCAAGGTACTCACAATTTTAGGAAAATGTCAATGTCACTTAAAAGGSCATTTGATGACTTGATGGAGAAATAAAAATTAATACTCTTATTACACATCAGTATCTAGTCCATGCCCTCTTCCTGYTCTGTGTATGGAAACAGGAAGCACAGGAGGTACTTCTGCTACACTTCAGAGCAGCACAGTGCAGGCGTGCGATCACTCAATAGCACAGACAGCAGACCCTGGGTTCATGAACAGCACTCTACTGACAGCAAAGTAACAACCTAGATTATTCACTATTGGCCACTGCACTGACCCTTTCTTGAACAAAATGAAGCTATAATGTCACTGAAAGCAACTGACTACATTTGGACCCAGTAATGAAATTTGAGCATTCAAAACAAATTAGAATTTATAAAACAAGCCCRTGATTTGACAGCTTCCCAAAGCTAAGAGCCTTTTCTGAAGGYACTGGTAGAAATAGCAATGTATGTGACTTTGTAAGAGTTGTATAGTTAAATATGTTAACATTTGCAGAACTCAGGAACCAATTTTTTCCAAGTGATTGATGGTGCACCATGGTGCAAAATTACACATGCTAAAAATGTGCTCCAAGTACAAGYTGCAACAATGGGTTTCAACTTAACAAAGAATTGAAGTTCACAGACATGGTTTCTGATTCACATGGCAACTAACCTTTAAGAAAMTATCACTTGTCAAGTTTTGGTGTAGTAACAAAGAATGAAAACAGTTATGTCTGAAGAAGCCATTTAAATACACTTCTCTTTTCCAAATACAGATTCATGGGAGGCTGGATTCCCTCAGCTATTGTAACCAAAGTAGCACACAGCAAAAATCTGGTGCAGAGGAGACATGAGAGCCAGCTGCCTTCAGTTAGGCCAAAGATTGCACCAAAGGGAAAATACTACTGTCTGGAAAACAGAATCCTTCTTCACAAAAACTATGTTATTCATAGTAACATGTAACTGACTTATTGTAGTTATTTTTAAGTGAATCAATAAATAAATCTTGTTAAATTTCCTTATTTCAATCCCTAATATGGTARCTACTGATGTGATCACATAAACACACGCTCTCTGGGGTCCCCAGTGGTGTACATAAGCATAAAGGAGTCCTGATAGGGATCTGGGGACCATTGCTCTGAAGGGTTTGATCACCAAAATGTGACACCGAGAACAATGGCATTCATCTCACAGGCTGCCAATGTCAATGACACAGTGATGCGTTTCAAGGAGGGGTCAATGGCCCTGCACATAGTTCACAAAAGGGGTCAGGGGAGGGGTCAGGCGCTGGCTCTTGTCTTCTGATTGCACGTCAAACCTCCAAGACCTAAATGCAATGCAGCTATAACGTCCAAGCTCACCATTTGCAGGAAAARTCTCTAAACTGTGTTATGTCCTTTCTTTGGGGAAAAGAAAATCATCAGCTTTGCCTACTTAGATGATCTTTTTATTGTTTTAATTRTTAAAATATGATTTTGATTTTTAATTGCATATTCCCATACATCCCAAAAAGAACGAAAGCACTGCATTTAAAATATGCTCTGGACCCCTTTTACACAGCCCAGCCCCCTCCCCACACCCACCRCCAGTCTGCACAGCCTCTGGCTGAGGAACAGCAACATGTAGTCCAGATGGTGGGTTCCACATCTGGCTGCATCTTACTGCATCTGAACCTGGCACTGGACCTGGTCCACCTGAGCATGCACTGAGCACAGAGGACACTCTCCCTGGAGACCTGGAATTGGCTTACAAATGTTTCTAWTATAATAGAAAAGTGACTGAAATTTTAAAATTACAGCAATGAGCTCAACCAGGAGATGGCTCCACTTCCTGTCAGTTATCTGAGAGAACTGAAGGTACCCCTTTCCAGGGTGCTTCTRAATGTAAGACCCCAGAGACCCCACATGTCCACTGCCCTGCAGGCAAGGAAGCGGCCACCTGTGTGTCCAGCTCATCCATAAGCTGCAGGTGCATGGAGTGTGTGGCACTGCGTGGCCAGCAGTGACACTGAGCGTGTGACAGGTATGTGGCCAGCAGTGACACAGAGCATGTGATGGGTATGTGGCCAGTGACATGGAACATGGGGCATCTGAGTGGCCCACAGAGACAACCATGTTGAGAGAAAGTTGCCAGGCTTCAAGAACACAAGGAAATAAGGGACGTTTAGGAACATTTTTCACTGGCCCCAAATGTACCTATTGTTGGGGAAGCTCATATGCAATCCCTGCCTGCAATATTTACCAATTTGTCAAATGTATTCTTGAATCAAGAATCTATTATAACTTTTTTAAAAGCCTGTCTTTTAAAACTGATTCCGATTTACAAGCAAAAATGTAAACTTTCTTTATATAATGCAGGGCCAATGATCCCTCGCCTTCAAACACGGGTGCAGACAGCCCTGAAGATGACCCAGKGAGAAGCAACACCTGGCAGATGGATGCTCTGGGCATGCCCTGCTCTCCACTGCCTCTCCTCCCCTCTCTCTCAGGGAGGAACTGCTGGCTCACGAAGCACCGTCTGTCAAGGCCAAGCACCTGAACCTTCCAGCATCTTCCCTCCCCTGGACCTTCCAGCATCTTCCCTCCCCTGGACCTTCCAGCACCTTCCCTCCCCTGAACCTTCCAGCACCTTCCCTCCCCTGGACCTTCCAGCACCTTCCCTACCCTGGACTTTCCAGCACCTTCCCTCCCCTGGACCTTCCAGCACTTTCCCCACCCTGAACCTTCTAGCACCTTCCCCACTCTGGACCTTCCAGCACCTTCCCTCCCCTGGACCTTCCAGCACCTTCCCTCCCCATGCTTCTGTTTTCTTGCCTCTAAAACACTCATGGAAGAAAGTGCTCTTTTCCTCCAAAATACCACTGTCCATTTTATGCATCAAAGGAATGAATTTCCCTAAGAGCCCCTACGCAGAGATCAGTGCAGGCAGCCAATAAAGAGTTCTCACTAAGCCTTCCCAGAAATGCAAAGAGGAAGTATTACTTTTGGTGTCCAAAACTGTCTATGATCATCTCGTAGTTACACAAGGCTGAACTCAAGGTTGTCTGGTGCCTTTCAGAAACAACACACATGCCAAGCATATTCTCCRATGAAACCAAGTCATAGGTTTTAAAATCACCGATGGCATCTCTGCAACACACGTGGGAAACCAAATAAATACAAATAACATGCTTTCCTTTTGTAACTACAGTGGTTTGTGCACCCCTCACTCTGAGGTCAGCAGAAGTGTGATAAAATGACCCCTCATCGACAGGAATGGACAGTGACAGCCAAGGGCCAGGGCAGGCTCTGGGCTCAGAGGGGACCAGCAAGCTGAGCTCAGGTGAGCCACTTCTGCTTTTCTCTGGGACCCACTCCTGCTGCTCAGGCATGAGCTGTACCAACTRCCTTGATCTCCTCTCACCCCATGGGAGGGACCTAGGCTGACACTTCTAATTGAGAGTTTTTCCACAGCAAAATCCCACTGA